TTCTATGGCTGATATTGAATATATTCTTTCGAATAAAGTCTGTAATCCCATTAGACGGCAATGTTTAGATTATCTCTAGGACAAATATACATGATTTCATTTTTGTACCGATCTTTCCTATTTTTGGAGTTTTTGGAATGTGATTTGAGCTTATTAAAAATCAATTTTTACATCGAAAGTTGCAAACATCTTGCTGAATGCGTAATACCCTCTGAAAAATCATAGGAAATTCAGCTTCAAAATGGAAATACAACACACAGCAGAGTCGTTTTGCTTTTAGCTTTTTTACAACACAGCGACTACAACTACAGTCCCAGTCCCAGTCCCAGTGGCAGTCCCAGTGGATGAGGCAGTGCCAGTGGCAGCAACAATGAGTCAAGTGCTTGAGTGTGAGGGGAGGGGAGGGCCAGGGGAGTGGAGCTGGCGAATAAGCAAATTTAAGCACAGCTGAGAAAATCAATGGTAGGAAAATCTTCAGATAACAAAAAGTGAAATTGGAAAATAAGCGTAACACAAAACCCCGCAGCACCCCGTCCCCGTCCGGAAGGGCAAAGGAAAGCCCAAGGCCTCTCTCTCTCTCTCTCTCTTTCTCTCCTTCGAGTACAGTTGTCATTGTCTGATTGTTGCTTTGGGTGCTGCTGCTGCTGCTACTACATTTACGGCTGCTAGATATACCCAGGAAGGATCAGGCTGCAGTTGTCATAGTAGATTCAAATATCTCTGCATATTGTGTTCATACACTGCTATAACCCACTGTATTAGTCCTACCTGCAACAACAAATCAACTCCACTATTCTCTTTAGCTGCAAGTCGTAAATATATCCCCAGCAAAAAACGTTTTAAAGCTGCCAAAAAGAAGAAAATGCGCCTCTTGTTTTTTTTTTTTAATTTTTCCCAAAAACTTTCTATCTGTCCCGCTCACCCACACACACACACCCACACCCACACCCACACGAGGGGGGGCAGCGGATGTCAGCCATTTTGGAAAAACAACGGGACTGCTCCCCGCCTTTTCGTATTTATTTCAATGTGGAACCAGGGAGCAGCAGCCAGGGAACAAGAGCAGCAACAAAGGGAAATGCGAGCGCAAATCGAGTTAACGAGCTAACTGCGGGGCGTCCCCTCCCTCACTCACTCACTCTCCCGCTCTCACCCAGCACCGCCCCAGCACGGGCAGGCACAACCACCACCCACAATTTGGGAGACATATCCCGAAAAGCAACCCCCAAACAAAAACAAAAACAACAACAACACGAAAGAAAAATAAAAAGACGAAGAAGAACAACTCAAGACTGAAAAGGTTCTGTGGATTGTATAACAACTAACAACTTAGCCACCACCCACCCATCCCATTCCATCCCATCATCTGAGGACACCCCACACCCGAGCCACCCACTCAGGAGGTACGCTGCCTGCCTGCCTGCCCTGCCGCTTGCCTCTTGCCATTTTTCTTTTGCCACTTTGCTTCTTCAACTTATTTACGTCTCCATTACAAATAATTGCGCGTCATATTGGCTCGGCTATACTTAGCTCCCACCCGCGCCAGACACAATCCACCCCATGCCCCACCCCACCCCACCCCTTACCTTCCCTTCCCTTCCCCTCACACAGTAGCTGGGAGAGCTGCCAACTCAGGGGCAGAATGTTGCCTTGCCTTGGCGCAAATAAATACGCTTTTCATTTGGCAAAAAGTTGCCAGGACCACCCATAGAAACCCCACCCCCCTACCCCAACCCCAACACCAACCATCATGTGGCCCCATTTTGCCTAGACAACCAAACCCCACAGCCGCACAGATCCTCCCGCCCTTCACGGTGTTAGCGTAAGTAGTAAATACGCTCGAGTATTATTAACGTAAATGCAAAATTGCCAATTTCGAGTGTATTTCCTGTCAACAGAAATGTTCTTCTTTTTGCCAGCGCCATTCCTGGCACTGCCACAGCCACAGCCAGTGGCACTACCACCAGCAACCACCACCACCCCCTCAAGGTATTCAGCGAAAATAAAATTAAGAGGAAAATAAAAAAGGAAGAGAGATGAAATCGTAGATAGCAAGGGGAGGGCTCTCTGGCTGGGCTGTTGGCTGCCTACGGGGGGGAGGGGCCTCCAGCCTCGCGTACGCTTCATCGGTCTAGTGCTGGTGGCACCCCAGTGGCCCATTCTCATCCACAAATCGCCCATCTCTACGCAATGCTAGAACAACCCACCTCCCTCTCCCACTACCTCTCCCCCCTGCCAGGACACGCACACACAGATCCAGAGCCAAGTGGTTGGCGGTGGGCTTTTATTAATATGTCTGGCAATTTCAATTTGAGTTTATTGGTAATTTTACATTTCGTCTCTGGATGGAGTGGGGAATCGGAATGGGAATTTATGCAAAGAATGGGTGGTGGGCGGGGGGAGGGGTTCTGCCATTTATCACAGAGGAGAGTCTGCAGCAGAACAGAACCTCTATAAATCAGTCACTCTCGATGGAAATGGAAAAATGGAATAGAGCAAGTAAAGTCTTTTTTGTTTGGAAATTAAGAATATACAACTATCGAGAGGTATCGATCTATGCATACTAATCGATAGCTATATCGAAATAGTTTTTAAAACTTCGAGGTAGAGCCACAGAGACCTGACCCATTAGCCCGGCAATAAATTGGCATATTATTATCGTGACCGCTTCGATTGGCGGTTAATGAAATTCATGGAATGCCGCACAAAACAAAAGCCATTCGATCAAAATATTGCTTAATTGAACAATTAAGCAATGAACAAAAGAGCCATCGAAGTGGCCCCGTGTACCCCAGACAGTCCCGCCAGCCCAGCCAGCCAGCCAGCCAGCCAGCCAGGAGAGGACAAAGGCAGGACACAAAGCAGGACACGGACAGGCCAATGCACGTATTTATTTCACTTGAGGACCAGACAGTACCCCGGGCCAAAGCAGAACTATGTATGTACAATACATATCAAATTAATTTAGGCGGAAAACGAGCTGGGGGAAAACTGGCTGAAAATGGATATGGAAAAGGGAAAATGCAAAAGGCAAAGCCGAATGCAGAGGGGCGAAAACGAAGGCGAAGGCGGAGGCTGCTGCTGGCCACAACATATCGCATGACAGAGAATCAAGCAACTGCCAGGCACCGCATCGCACCGCCCAGATTGACTGACCCTGCGACCGTAGCGGACCGGACCGGACCGGACCGGACCGAACCGACCTCCTCCATGCCGCAAATCAAATTAGTTGATGAACCGAGTCGAACGCTGAGCGGGAGACGATGGATGGATGGGAGAGACGACATCGATAGCTGGCCAAAGTGGCTAACCACTCGCTCGCCTCTATAGAAAGTATCTGCTATATGTATATACAATTTGTTGTTCATCATTATTGCTATTTATAAGCATGCTTTGGCAGTGCTTTTAAAGCATTTTAGCCAGGGCAGGGCTCGTGCGTTGGGAGATGGGGATGGACAGTGGACAGTGGTCAGCTGTCGCTCCCCACTCCCCGGCTAATTGTTAATTGATGTGTGTCTAATTATGCCGCCAAAGTGGCCAGGCAATAACAGCACACACACACACACACACACAAAAATATACCATAGAAGGAATATTTCTGTATGCATGCAAATATGAGTGTTTACTAGGAGGTGGTTCGGTCTGTTCTGTTCATTGCTGGTTGCCTAATTTAATGGAAAGTTGAACAGTTTCACTGGTATAAACTGTAAATGTTCAAGAGAGCATTCAAACCAGACGATAGATCGATTTCATTATTGGCCAATAAGTTTTTAAAGAGCACATAGCTGCAGGGACTCACAATTATGGGAATTGGGAAGAAGGTTGCCTCTAAATGTAGGATCTGTAGTGGGTAATTATTTGTTCAGCAAATCCGATGCACTAGTGAAACAGGGGTATTAGATCCAAAACCAAGAAGTATTCCTTAGTTCCTTACACGAATGATACGTGTAAGAGTGGACCTACATAAGAGTCCTATCAAAAGAATGTGCTATTTATTATTAAATAAAATATGTGCAGTCCCTTAATATTCCTCAATTGAAACCAAAATCCATGCTCTATTAAAAAGACTTCCTCTAGCTCTATAAGAGATCGATGCTGCTTAAGGGACTTCCTACCAGCCCATTAACCGAACAACTGGCAAGGATAATCATAGATAATTTGGTCAGCCCGATAAGTGTGTGGCCGGAAACCGTTTTTGGCCATGCAAAGAAAAGTGAGACGCGCACAATCGTCATCATCATCATCATCATCATTATGGATCGGGGGGGACATTGTGCGGCCGGGGATCACAATAGAACGCCCTTTGCGACACGCCTAAGCCGATTCCCGTTTAATTTGAGACGGGGGTAGAAAAAAAAGGGCTAAACCACTTAACACCCTAACACCCTAATTGTCAAAACAAAGCCGGAGCCGAAGCCGAAACCTCCTTTCACCGTCTCCGTATGCGTCTCCTCCTTGTCATTTTCCTTTCCTGCCTGCCAAAAGAAAATATTTGGCTGTGTGGCTGTTCTTTCCCATTTCCAATTCCATTTTTCTGGGAATGCCATCAAAGCAGAAGGTGGAGTGGAGTGGAGAGGAGAGGAGAGGAGAGGAGGACGACATGCGCTTAACCCTTCGCTGGCTGACATTTGAATAAAAAATCCAGGCAACTTGTCAAAATCTGCACGAATGTTGAATGAGAGTCGGTCGTCGGGGCATGGAACAATTTTTCAGCTGCCGCCTGACACGGTTATCGTGTGCGAAAAATCAGGGAATCATTGGGAGTGCAGAAGGATTCGGCTCGAATGTCTCCTGGGTGCTGTGTCCTGGGTCCTGAGTTCTGGGTCTGCGGCGGCATTGCCATTGTCCTCCGCTCAAAGGGAAATGGAAATGGGATTTGTGGCAGGGACAGACATGCCTCAACATCGACAACGACAACGACATATGTAGAGCAAGCGCCAGGAATGCCACTCAACTAATCCCTTCCCTCTTCCCTCTCTCTCTGTCGTCTCTCTCTGCAGAACAAGCGGCCGCACGTGGTCAGGAGTACGCCAGCAGCCTGGCCAACGCCAGCGGAGATGAGCAGTCGCCCAGCAAGGCCGGAGGCAGTGCAGGATCAGGCGCCGCCCCGGGCAACGGCAACGGCAGTGGTAGCAACAGCAACGGGCATCTGGGCTCACCTCCCAGCAGCAATGGACCTGGTGGGGAGGCCGCCCGTGGTAGCTCCGCCGGATCAGGTGGCTCTGGATCGACCCTGGCCAGCGCCTCTGCCTCGGCTGCAGTGGCAGCCTCCGCCAGTCGTTCCTCGCCCGCCAGTGGCGGCCACCATCATGCCGCCCTGGCTGCCCATCAGCATGCGGCAGCCGCTGCTGCTGCGGCCCATCATCATGCCGCCGCTGCGGCTGCCGCCCACCATGCACACCACGCCCATGCCGCCCACCACGGCCACCCCCACTTGCATGCCCATGCCGCCCATCATGCAGAGGCAGCCGCCTTCCTGGGCGCGGCCGGAGGAGCTGGCGGCAATCCCAACAGTCTCCTGGCCGGCCATGGCGGCGATGTGCTGGTGGGACCCGGCGGTACCGGGCCCGGTGGCAAAAAGAAGAACAAACGCCGACACGGTCGGACCATCTTCACCAGCAGCCAGCTGGAGGAGCTGGAGAAGGCCTTCAAGGAGGCCCACTATCCGGATGTGAGTGCCCGCGAGCTGCTCTCCATGAAAACGGGCCTCGCCGAGGATCGCATACAGGTAAGAGGCGGAAACCCAACAGATATAAATACATAGACTCGTATAAGTAGTACCCAGCATTTGATCTGTGGCTATTCGGGACCATTTAAAGCTCAACCTGCAACATCTCCCCTCCCACTCAATAGTGGACGCCCATGGTCCCTAGAAGGCCTTTGATGGGTATAGTATAGCACCCCCCTAACGTTAAATCAAGCTCTGCAGTCGGGTGGGGGCTGGCTTCCCTCTGGAGTCACGTAGCCTTGCAGTCCGTCGTCTGATTGTGGATTCTCTGACTTTAATGGGCCCCTGTTGGCTGAGAGGATTTATAACCGTTTGACGGGGGGAGAACTTTTATGGGTGCGCCATCGTAAAGATTCAATGAAAGCTTCGATTTGTGGCAGCACGGAGGGAGAGCACGGGCACCGCACCTGGGAGTGTGGGATGCGGTGTGAGAATGGGACCTGCCACTTGGCAAGTGTTGCCGCACTCGTGGGGCTGCCATAATGAGGCCTCCGCTGATTACATAATTACGAGTGCACACAATTGCAATTGCAACAGAAACAACAAAAATACGAAAGCACAAATGGGAAATGAAGTAAGAAAACGTGGCAAGCGGCACTCGCCGACACTCCAAAAAATGCGAAGAGCACGAGACGAGAGCATAACAATTGCAAATTGGATGGCGGGACGGGACGGGGCTAAAACAAAGGCGATCGACAGTCGACAGTCAAAGAGAAACCAGCCAGCCCGAGTCCGAACTAAATAATAGTAGGAAGAGCATGGCCTTCAGTCAAATCAGAATTCAACACAAAATGACACATACCTTCATGCTGGGAGATGTAGGATCCCATTCGGGTTGAAAAAACTTCACTTCGAAGATATTTTTAAACGAATTTCGCATCTTTTAGGGGAAATGCATCTGCTAAGTGGTCGGTCCCTATTGTACCCATATCCCTCGATCTAATCGCTTCAAGATCGAACAAGGTGCTTAAACTCGATCCTATTGATTGAAGGCTGATCTTATTTAAGATCTATCCAATTCTATACTTGGAAAGACCAAAAAAATTAGCTTATATTGTGAATTATTCGGAGAAAGAAGTACAAAAAAATCGTGTCCATAATGATGAAATGATGTGAATAATTGAATTGAAGAGAAACAGAAGCATACGAACTCGTAATAATAGAAATAGAAGCAGAAACACTGAAAGGGCGAAGTGAGAATAGAAGTAGAAACACTCAAAGAGATGTACGCAGAAAAGAGTCTTTCAATTGGAGAAGCAAGAAGCAAGAACAGCCACTTAGATTCGCAAATCTTCGGCCTTCCCCCTCTCTCTCTTGAGAGCGATTGCAATACGATTAATCGTTCATGCAATACGATTACTCTTCAATTCCAATAAATAGAGGGTTTCCCCTTCGTACATCTACCATTTTGATCTGCCTCCCTCTCAGGTTTTTGCATAACTCCCGCTATTTCAATATGCACTTGAGAAGCCGCAAGATGGCGCTTGCACAGGGATTTGGTTATGGCCTGTGTTTATGTGAGTGCATCTGGCGTGTATCTGTGTGTGTGTGTGTGTTAATGTGCAGAAATCAAATTAACAAACACAATTGGCTGAAAAGTGAAAAGTAAAACAAGAAGAAGAAGTAGAAGCAGTAAAACGCAAAACAAAATAATTCAAAAGCACTCACTCTCACTCTCCTCTCACACACACACTATCTTTCTCTCTCACACACACACACACACACACACACACTTCAATTAAGTGCAAATATGGCGCAACAGCGCAGTCGGCTCACAGCTTGAAAAAAGCCGCTCGTGAATCGGAGAGAGAGCAATGGGTGTGCAGGGGGGGCGGGCGGTCCGTCTGGGGTCTCTGTTGGTGCCGTGGCGAGGCAATCATTAGCAGCACGATAAGAGGCCGAGGACAAAGATGATGCTCGAGGGAGGAGGAGGAGGAGGCTGTGGCTGTGCCTGTCGTCGGCAGCCATGCAAATTCGTTGAGACAAGAACAACAACGGCAACGCAACGGCAAATCGAAGCCACCATTAAAAGTTTGCTCTCTTTCGCTCTCTCGCGCTGCTTTTGCTTCTCCTCCCACCTTACCCCTTCTTCGCTGTGCACCCGCTGATTGTTTTCTGCGTGTGTTTTTTTGCCTGCCGTTTTTAATTGCATTCCATTTTGTGTGTGCGTTTCGTCGTTCATTGTGTGTGTGTTGTGTGTGTTGTGCATTCTCTCCCCATTTTGGCCCAGTCGTCCCTGCTCTGCTCTGCTTCTTTTTGCTCCAGACCAGCCACAAAGAAGAAAAAGAGAAAGAAACATGGCTGGCAAAACATGTTTTCGGCTCTCCTGCTCTCGCACACAGGCCAAATACCAAAGCTTGTTCTCTTCATCTCTCTCTCTCGTTGTGGCTGCTTGGAAAGCGGTTCACCAAAAATGTTGCCACTGTCAAAAGTCAACGACACGGCCAGGCGACAAACGCGTCGCTAGCGAAACGTTTCGAGTGGCGTGGCGTGGCGTGGCCGGCCCCAAGGCAAACCACTGACACAAATTGGCTTCCAAACGGAACTAACACAATACACACGATGCCCAAAGAGAGTCCGCCGAATATTTAGCATAAAAGATGCGGGACGAGTGATCGATGCTGACCAATATGTCGCCTGTGCGAGAGTTTGGCGTGTGCAACAAGGACAAAGCTAGAAGCTCCCACTTTGTTGCATTGTTTTTTGCGAATTGTGCAATTGGCTTTGCCTGCTACTCCCTGGCTGTGCTTTGTGCGCAGATGGTGTCCGCATTACCCCGTTACAGCGGGTATAATAATTCTGAGTAGCTACAGAATGTACCCTATCTTAAAGATAACTTCATATAGTGCACATTTATATATATCTACATGTCTAAACCAATTCTGAACACAGTTTCCTGAAGAGAAATATCTCTTCAGGGGTATTGCTTATGTCCTTTCATTAAAGTAGAGAGTCGTAGAGAGTAAGCGAATGAGGTACAATGCATTGAAAAGGCGGTGGAAAAGGGAACATAACCGAACCGCAAAAAAAGCATTCGCCTGTCTATTTCAGGACTGAGCTGTGAGGACAACCTGCTGATTGCTGATTGCAGCTTGCAGCTTGGGGTGCTCGAAGGCTCTCTTTGTGCATAAAACAATCGAATTAAGACAATGAAAAGTGATTTTTTTTTTGTTGGTTTTTTGTTGGTGCAAATGCATTAAATGCACAATTCCAATTGCACTCCACCGCATGTTCCGATTGTTCCAATTTGCCGAAAAAAGTTGCACAAAAACTGCCACATTCTGCAAAAGCACAAAAGAAACTGCCAAAGGAAATCGCTGCACTTGCACTTGAGAGAGTTTGCAAAATACTGCTAGACCCTCGAGCACCATTGCCATCGAGTCCTAAGCTTAAGTTCTTGCCGTGGTCATAAGATGCATATCGTACGTACCCCATAAGGCAGCAGCAGCACCAGGAGCAACCAGCTCTCGGTTAAAAATTCATTCCGCTTCTCCGTGAGTTGCTTTTCGTTCTCCCAGTGCAAATTATACTTCAAAAATTATCAGCAAACACATCAAGTGGTGCCGGAATGGAATTCATTGATGGCATAATTTTGCAGCACTTAATTGCAAAGGAAACATTGGCATAGAACAATGGATCTTACTCCATTTTACACTCGATGAGAATATTCTACAATTTGTGTGGCAAATGTTAATAAAAATAAGGCGCAATTATACATAGATCAATGGGGTTTAGTAGTAATGAACCAAAATGCTGACTATCTCCGCTAAGATTCCCGCTTCAAAAGTTCCTCTCAGCACAAATGTTTCATAAATGTTTTCCTCGTGGATATTACATGCCTGTTATACTCGTCTGTATGTATCTAGGTAGGAACCGACGCAATCGCTCCATGTAACAAATTGTTCGCATCATAGTTTTTTTTGTTGTTGTATTTTTGTTTTGCATAATTCTGTTGCTGCATTAATTATACACTTTTGCGCTCCGCTCTCCTGTTTCTCCTGCGCTTTTAATGAGCTGTTAATATTAACGCGCATACACAAAGAAGGTGGATACAAAAAAATGGAATTAAAAATGATTATGCATAATTATGTAATTAACATTTAAACAAAAGAGGTTATGGCTGGAAACAAAAGCATTTAACAAATTGCTATTTGCATTTTTCTCCCCACTCTTTCTCGCACTCTCTGCTGCACAGAGCACAGAGAGCGCCGTGTCGCAGGTTTTGAGCAGGTTTTTCGTCTATCCCCGCCCCCTGGAATCATAACTACAAATAGAAGGAAAGGTTTACATATATGGCCTAAGCCTCCAATTTCCTTGCCTCTAAATCATCTACATCAGCAGTGAGACATCCTCTGAAAGGGTATACATAATAGTAGCAAACTCTCAGAACTAGGCACATTTTAAAAAGTCATTTATCAACGCATTAGCAACACTGATTGAGTCTACCGCTACCGCTACCCTGCCTGCCCCCCACTCTCGCTGACTCGCCGACTCGCTCTCCCTCTCTCAAATAGATAACACTGCAGCCAGTGTGATTGTCGCTGTCTCTCTCTTTCGCAGTGTGCCCACACCCTGGGCAAGTGGCGGGTGTTAAGTGTTGTCAACTCAAGCAGATTTAATTTGCCATGTTTTTGCTTTGCTTTTTGTTGCTGTTGCTGTTGTTGCGTAGTGCAACAATAAACAAGGCAAACAACTGTAAATGCAAATGTTGACATCACACCAAGTGGTGCGTGGAGACGGAGACGGAGACGAGGACGAGGCCGCGTGGCGCACAAATTTAAAGTGATTTCCACAGTTTGATGGTCCCTGGAGAATTGCGGCACATGTTGCAGCAGCAGCAGGAGCAGCAGCAAGAGCACTGGCAGTGGCAGTGGCACAGGACAACCCTGGGAAAAGCAGAGCCCAAAATGATGTTGAACTTTTCACAACAGCAGATTAAGTTGTCCCCCGGGAGGATGGGAGACGACAAGGAAACAAGGAGACAAGGACAGCCCACTTTCCGTGCAAGTTGTCTGTGAAATTGAAAATTGACCGTTTAATGTTGCCGCACACGGCCACGGCCACGGCTGGCAACATTTTTGCTTGGCTTGTCTTGTGCCACTAATAAGTACTCGAAAATGGGATGCGCAGGGGGCAAGACGGATGCGTGACAAGTGCTGTCTGCTCGGGCACAGCCTCATCCTCAGCAGACATGCCAACTCCACCCAGTTTTCGTTCTACCGTTAATTTAATTAGTTTTTGGTCGCTTTTGCTGGTCGTGTCGTGTGCCGCCGCCCTAATCGTACGCCTTTTGTCCTTGTCGTGACCCTGTCACGATTCGCGCGCGCTCTCTCTCTCTCTTTCGCTCTCTCTGTTTGCTACCACTTTTTGTGCAGACTGTACCAACAGTGGAAGGGATAATCCCAAGGCATAGCCTTACAGTGTGTCTGATAATCTGATGGAGAATAATAGGCCAAGGCGAAAACAGTTTGGAATCAATTCAAGGGCCTTAAACGGTTGGTATTACGTTGATTTTAGTTCGAAAGATGGAAACGAGTTGAAGGGCAGGATATACTTGCATACATTTGCATTTTAAGTTTTAAGTGACTTTTCCGAAGATCCCTAAAGATAAAGACAGTCCTCACTGAGTCCGCCAGATTTATTTGCTGCATTTATTTCTCAACGCATTTCATTCGAAATCATTTGAAATCGAAACCCCACCAAAAATGTTAAGATCCCATCCCATCATTATTTGGGGGTTTAATTAAAAAAATATGTTAAAATGCATCCACGCACCCCTGGATTCGTATTTCGGGGCAGTTGTACGTATTTGTTGAGCTACGTGGAGTCAGCCAGAATGGGAGGATTATAGCTGCTTTCCACACACACACACACACATTCCCACGCACTTTTCGGTTTTGGCCCCCGTATTCAATCCCTTTGACCCACTTCTGGGTCCAGTTCCACTCCATTCCCCCAGACAGAGGCGGGATGTGTGCATTTTTAATTGCATATTGAGTTGCATTATCCCCCATTATTCCCCCTACAACCTACAGCCTATAACCCAGAGAGTAACCTTCAGCTGATCCATGTTTCCCCTCTTGTGTTGCAGGTTTGGTACCAGAACCGGCGGGCCAAGTGGCGCAAGACGGAGAAGTGCTGGGGCCACAGCACAAAGATGGCCGAGTACGGCCTATATGGGGCGATGGTGCGCCACTCGCTTCCGCTGCCGGAGACAATCATCAAGTCGGCGAAGGAGGACGAGTCGGTCGCCCCCTGGCTGCTTGGGATGCACAAGAAGTCGCTGGAGGCCGCCGAGCTGCTAAAGAGCGACGAGAGCGACCGGGAGACGCCCACTTCGGACGACACCAACACCAGCTACTCGGCTGGCAGCACCCACAACTCACCCATCTCCAGCTTCTCCATCTCGCGGCTCCTCTTCGACGCCCCGCCGCCCGCCACGGGCAAGCCGAGCAAGCACCATGCCCACGCCCACGCTCAGGCCCAGGCCCACATCGCGGCTGCCAATGCGGCGGCCGCCGCAGCCGCTGCCGCCCATCATCACCATCACCACCACCACCATGGTGGAGAGGCAGCCGCCGCCGCCGCTGCTGCCGCTGCCATGCACGCGGGCATGGCCCAGCAGCACCACCACGCGCACGCCCACTCCCAGCCGCATCACGCACAGCCGGCCGGAGCGTCGGGAGCGGGCACCGGGGGCCAGCACCAGCACCACCCTTACAACCAGCAGCAGCACCTGCACCACCTGCAGCAGCTGCAACAGCAGCAGCAGCAGCACCACCAGCAACAGCAGCAGCAACTGGCCGAGCGGGAAAGGGAGAGGGAGCGCGAACGGGAGCGCCAGCAACAGCAGGCGGTGCAGCACGCCATGCACATGCACCACCACGGCCCCGCAGGCTATGCTGAGGCAGCAGTGGCTGCTGCCGCCGCTGCTGCTGCTGTGGCAGCCGCTGCCAATGCCAGGAACGCGGCCGCCGCAGCCGCTGCCTCCGCGGCCGTGACCGTTGCCGAGTCAGAGGAGGATCCGGACGAGGACGAGGAGATGGACAAGGATTGCGACCCGGAGATCGATGGCGATATGGAGGTCGCTGGCGACGCGGACGGGGATGCCGATTGCGATGGCGATGGCGAGATCGACATCTGTGACGACCACGATGACGAGGTGCACATGCACGAGCAGCTCCTGCTGAAGGTCAAGCAGGAGCAGGCCGCGGGCGGCTCCGCCAGATGAAACATGTACATCGATGTGTTGTTCTAATTCTCAAACAACGAACAACGAAGCGCAATGGGAACGCCCCGGAGGTATGCCTCCGGGCGTGGCAATGAACCCTTTTCTAAGCATAATCTAATGGCATTATTCATAAACTTAAACGTAAATAAAAACGGAACAAAAACATTTTTTTTCATAGACCTAAGACCTAAGCACCCATTACCCATAAATACGAGTAAATCGTACGATCGTACGATCGTAAATGCATAGATACTAAATAGTACCATATTCAATGGAATTTTTTTTGTCCTTTTTTTTCGAGAATGTAAATATTTAAGTATTAAATTATTGGAGAAGAACGAACCGAACCGAACCGACCCGGAACCCATTCGGAGCGGAGGCACGCCAGATGCTACGATTTGCAAAATTTCTAAAATACGCTAAATGTGATTTAATTTAGTTATCGATTCTGAACAAGGCTTTTTATCGTTTAAGATCAATTTTTTTTCTTCGAAAATTAAGTTAAAAATATAATTTTTTTTTTTGTAATGCATCCTTCCTGTAAAAATTGTACATACGCAGTCCTCCTCATCCAGCAAGATTCCACTTTTAATCGGCGGATGCGAATCCCCAAATAACACCCCGGCCAGATCTACCTTTAGCCCTGGCTCCATATTCTTCGTGTCGTTTGTATCAAAGATTATAGAATACGTAGCTGGACGGATATGAGTAAACTATGTATTAGAATGAGAGCTCAAAGAGAGATCTACATGTGTTCTATAGTCTTTAGTTGTGTGCACATTTAAGATCCACGAGCATTCTGGGACATTCTGTACATACGAGTCCTGTCTCCGATCTGAAAGGCAATCCATGCAACAATTAAACGCTGAACTCCAGCCACTCCTACTCCAGCTTGAGAACCCTTCTTTATGTTCTTACTTGTTTCTTTGCATACTCGTAATCCAGACACTTTATTGGACATTTTGTGAAGCCAAAAGAAAAGAAAAACCGCATAATTAAACTGCAAATTGTGTAATTATTGAACGAAAAAAACAAAGCAAAACAAAACAAAACAAATTCACAACATACAATACATACTTACGAATATATGAGAGTTAGATGAAATAAATTGGATGATATGAAAAATAGTCGATGGCGTTTTTGGTTGGTTGGGTCTAATGAATTGATTTCATGCAAATATATTGCGTGATTTGAATACATTTATTAGCCGGACATATGGGACTACTTGTCATCCATACCGCATCGGATCTAGAATTACTCGAAATTTGGATATGGCTTCAAAAGGCGTCCTCATTGGCATCTATTCTCGATGAGCTTAAGGACTCCTTCTTTCTGCTACAAGATTATAATAATTGAATTATTATTGAAACATCTTTTCATAATGTTCTTTGCCTCTGGTTTCGCACGAAACACGCACAAGCTAGAGTTGTATGGCACGAACAAAATCACGGCCCATGTCCATCTCTAGTATACATAAAAATCGCTACAAGCGCCATCTAGCGATGTCAAATGTAAATATTTCGATGAGTTCCACTAACAGCAGCTTCTCCTAGGGTGCAAGAGGCGGCGCCACTGCATAATTTTACATGACTTTTACAGTAACAAATATGTGTACATATGTTTTTCAATACTTACATGCTATGTTACATGGAGCGCGTATAACAGTAGAAACGAGGGCTGACAGTCCTACGAAAGCGACCACCAGATGGCGATGGTGGCACTTTTCGGCCGATCGTTCAAATGCAGCTTTCCATATATTATTCTCGTTTGAGTAATTATTAAAAATGTATTTAATTGATGCGTATAACTATTTTAAAACAAAGAAAGCAGAAAAACTGGAAATAAAAGGGTAAAAATCATTCACAGTTTTAATGTCTATCCTCAGTGGCAATCGAACTTGTGCCATTCCGGTTCCCTACGAAGTACTGGGAGCTGTTTGCAGCACCAATAAGAGGTCGGCGTGGCATAACTCGCTGAGGTGCTGGCGACCCATCCAATGAATGCGTAGAGTTCAAATCCGGCTTTATTAGACTTTTATAATATAGACCAAGGTTCTTTCTCTCATTTCCGCATACAATTTATACCCCTGCACTCGCCACGCGTCACCTGTCATTCTCACGACATTTAGGCGTGCCAAAGTACAGTAAAGGGGAGAATAAAATGCCTCCAAAGGAAGCTGAGCAGTCGTCGAATCTAATTTCTAGACTCTCGGTGTCAATTGTTTAGAGGCACATTTCACTTTTTTGTTCATTAATTATAGTATATTACTCATACATACATATTACGAATTTATTATTTTAGTTTCGAGCATTTTTTAATGGAGGAAAGTGAGGCAGCAAGTCATGAGTACGTAGAGTAGAATAGTTTTATTTTCTATTCAATTTTAGCAAGACAATTTGACCAGACATTAAAGGCGCTTAAATATAAATAAACATGTGTATTTAATGTATATATTTGGCTAGCATAACTAGATATGTCTAGTTGTCAGCCCATCTTGCAATAAGCCAATAAGCCAAGCCAATAAACAACTCAGTAAAAGTTAACTGGTAGGTTTAGCGATCAGCTTTCGAAGGGTTTCCTGATGATTAAGGACTAAATCCAAATATTTCTGAGCCTATAAAACTTCAACTCTAAATAAACATGTTAATTTTAGGTAAACGTTTTATTTTTCATCCTTGACTTGTATACAAATTATAGAGAGTTTTCGTACACTACAAGCTGTGAAACTCTTTTCCTAGGAGGACAGGATACCCAAAGAGATCGCTCCTTCTCCAAAGCAACCATCATGCTCGAGGAGCACTCGTACCGGCCACAGACATAGAACGAAATTTCAGTTGGGAAAAATTTACATAAATTGCTGGGCGAAAATCGCAAAGCTGGAGGCAGACCGCAAAGTCGGAGCCAACAGTGGAACAAAAGGATGAGGACAAGGCGATGGCAATGGCAATGGCAGCGGCAGCGGCAACGGCATTTGCCAAAAAATCTGCTGTGAATGTATTGCAAAACAATAAGCAAAACAATAAATCAAAATATGAAATAATAATGGCTTCGGCCTCGCTGGATGATACACGAGTCGAGGTCGATGTCGAGGTCGAGGTCCCTCCAAGGAACAGCTGTAAGTCGGCAGAGCGCCCATTGTGAAAGCAGAAGGATGAAACCCGAGCGGGAACGGAACCCAAGGACTCTTTGCGTTGCGTTGCGCTGCGTCGCGGGTTTTGCGGCCGCCTCCTGTGCGCGCTCACACATTTTGGCAAGCTCTCACTCTCCTTCCCTCCTTGCGCTGAAATATAAATCTTAATATGTCATAATTCGAAATAATTTCCCAAAACCGCAAAAGCAAGTAGTTCGCACCAAGGGGCCAAGGACCCATAGCAGCGCCCGCTGCGACCAACGGAAATGCAACTTTCGATGAATGCAGTCTACCTCCATTCTGCTATGTACTCCTGGGGGTAGCTCTAGGTGCGAGTGCGAGTGCCAGTCCGAGTCCAAGTCCAGATCCAACTTCCACTCCTAATCCCACAAATTATTACCCTAATAGCCTGATATTGTCGCGGCTTAGCGACATCGTTTGTCATCTCTGGGGCTACTCGGTGGCTATGGGAGCGTGCGCGCCGCCGCCGTCGTTTTGGAAATTATTGAAAAGCAAACAGATGACAAAAATATGAAAGCGCGTTTTCCTCTATTTGTTTAATTTATTAAAAAAACAGACAGACAGGCGGAAAATGTTAAATGGTAAACAGAGAGTTCTGTTTTTCTTTGTTTGCCTTTTTTGGGAAAGTCAGCTGCAGATGCGTGCCTGTGTCCTTTTTGACCTCAAGCACGCGCTCACAGTGCGGTCATCCTGCGGCCAGCAGGTCCAGCAGCTTAGTGGTGGTGCTGCTGTGACGGTGGTGTTATATACATACACATATGTAAATATGCATGTGTATATGGTGGCTCTGCAGCTTTTGTTTGCTTAGGTCTGTGCGCTTCTCTGTTCTCGTTTATCAGCAAACAATCCACCAAAAAAAAACATAGAAAACATAAATAAACCAAACTTAACGGACTTTCAAAGCGTTAGAGATGGGAGATGCGATCGTTGGAGATGATGTGGCATATACCTAGAGTTTTCCGATCATCCTTTTTACTGTCGCTCATTTTGCGAATTGTATTAGTGCTTCGATTTGAATCATAAAAGCCGAAAGCCAATTCCCGGCTAATTCACAATTCAAATTCATATTTAAATTCATATTCCATAATTATAAAGCCAACCCCTCTGGCAGCGGCAGCGGCAGTGACAGTGGCAGGGCGCACACCCATCGGGGCGGGGAGATTTGGATTATAATTTGATATTTTGTTGGGCAAAGTATTAGCATTTAAATTGCCTCATTAGCAGATGCTTCCAGAGTACAATGTTCTGTTTTTCTGTTTTTCCTCTTTTTCCTTTTCTTATCGGAGAAACTGGAGTGCTGCTGCTGAAGCTTCTGCTCCTGCTGCTGCTCCCGACATTGATTCCGATGTCGTTGCTATTGCTTTTCCTGTAAAGCTCTATATAATTTGATTAACCAAAACAAAAACAGCAACACGCAAAGGGGGGGCCTCGTTTTTACCCGCCCAATTCGCACACGGATCCCGGATCCTGCAACCGATCTCGATACCAATTCGGAATCCAATCCACGCCCATTGCCATGGTCGTGTCGATAATTTAGAAATTAAATGTGGCTCGCAGAAGCATGAACTGAAAAGAAAGGGAATAAGATCTGGAATGGGATACGGAAATGGGCATCGGTATGGCAAGGAATGGGATTGGGAGTGGGAATGGGAATGGCGAAAGTGAAATGCCACAAACACACAAATCAAATCTAATCAAGCAAAGAAAGCAGCGCCAGAGCTCACTGCAGCTACAGCCAGCTAAAGACTTTCCCAAGGGGCATTCCGAAAGGCAAGGGGTAGGCTATGCTCCTGCCACTGCCACATCGCGGGCAGGGGCATGCTCACCCCTCAGCGCTCAAAAAAACACCAAGGTCCTGGTCTAGTTTTCTTTTTTTTTTCTTTTTTTATTCTTCTGTTGTTGCAACTGCAATTACATTTCATTTTTTGGGATTTCGATTTCATTTCGTTTTCTCTCGGACCCAAGACCAAGGACTCACGCCACGGCCAGGCGCATGTATGTATGTGTGGTGTAAGCATGGGGTGTCCTTTTGCCATGGGTGTCAAGGATTTGTCCGTTTCCTTATTATAGTGATTTCAGTGTTGTTCTGTTTTTGTTGTTGGCTGACTGGCTGGCAGGCCTCGTAATTATTTAGTTTACGTTTTTTTTTTTTTCCAATTATATTCCTTTCCTTTAATTTCCTGCCTTCCTCCTTATTATTTTTTTCCTTGTTCTCTGATTGAATCGGGAAAATCGGCTCAGTGGCTTGGAAACTTTCAATTTCATGCTTCGATTTTGTTCTCTTTTTTTTTGTTATATTACAAAAACAATACGTGGTGTGGATGTGTATGCAATGCATTCCTAT